GCCTAGCCTACCTTAAACGTACTCAGAACTCTTACATTAGCCTAGAGTTGGGCAAAATCACCTAACACAAAGCCAGCTTTATAATATGGTGTTGAATATCTCATGTAGTTTATTGAACACTGTACTGAAAGTGAAGCACAGAATGGTTCCAAGTGTGCTGGTGGTTTAGCCTCACAACCGCCTGGCTGACTGGGAGCTGTGCTTCACAGCCACGGCCCAAGGTCACGAGGGCATTGTGCTGCATCACCACAGGCCCAAGCAAAGATAAGAATGCAAAGTACGGTTTCTACTGATTGCGTATTGCCTTGGCTCCATCGTAAAGTCAAAAATTCAGATGTAAGGGGCTATCTGTGTACACGTTAGTTATTAGCCACAGCTTATACAAGCTTTATGGTTTTCCCTACTTTGAAACTCCCAGAGTTCAACAAATGCCCACTAGTCAAAGTACTTGCAGAGCATCAATTGATTCATTCACCTAATCAACACAATTGTATAAATATTCACTGTGTGCTGGAGAAAAATATACCATAGCCACTGCCCTCAAGGAGAAGGGGAGAGAAAAATGAAAAAGTAGTTATTTATAATGCAATGTAGTAAGTAAGAAACATTTGTGAAATAGGACAAAAGGTATAGAAATAGAAAGTAGAGAATGATTAATTCTATACAGGAAGACAGCTTGTTACAGAGCAAGCTGTGTCAGTGGTAGCCTGCATGATGCGTATGATTTCTTTAGGTCTGTGGTTCTCAAACTTTAGCAGGCATTAGAATTGCCTGTGTATGGGGGTCTATTAAACAGCTTACTGGGCTCCACCCCCGAGTATCTTGTTCATCAAGTCAGGGGTTGGCACCCTGGAGATTTGTTACCCCACAGATTTCCAGGTCATGGTCATAAGGCTGATCCAGGGATGACATTTTGAGAACCACATCTTCAGATAAAGAAAAGGAGTGAAGAAGGAGAAACTCTATAAACATAAAAGCAAAGATAAAGGTAATGAATCCCTTGGCAAAAGATATCCGTAGGATATCCCTTCCATATTAAAAAGACTCAAGTTTGGTAGAACTGTGAGCAGCAGCCCATGGGGTTATACTGCAGATTAAAGCAAAGGATAGTAGGGAGACCCTCCTCTGTAAGGGTCTAAAGAAGATGGTACAGTTAGAAATAAAATCCCATACTTGTCATACATATTCTAATTAATGACACAGTGTGGACCATCTGTGTGATACCTGTGATACCAAAAACATTAACAGATTTCAAAGCAGAAAGTTTAAGAAAGAGCCCCCCTATTTATTTTCTATTTTCTCTCCTGCTGTCCTTTTCTTCCCTGCCCCTTCCTTCCACATGTACTAAGTACTCCCTCTGTATACAAGGTATAGTGCTGGGCACAGTAAATGAGAGGGAAATAAGGCCCAGTCCTGATACGATACACAAATATGAGAAGAGGAAGGGAATATTTTTATGCTGTCTTGATACACAGCAGACCTATAGAGTATTTATAATCTGACATATTGATGGCAGAAAGTTTTGAGGATTTCATTTTAGTGTTACCCTCCATTATCTTCAACATCCCGGGAGGACTCTGGATATAACCTTGTTAAATGAACTAGATTTTCCAGCATGTAAATAATGTGCTTCTCTACAGTTAGACTCTTGGAGTCCATTCAAAGTCTGATTTTAAGGGTGAGTTATGGTCTTTCTTAGGAGCATCTAAAACTATGGACTATAAATAATTCGTTGATTTATCTGACAAACAATTAGGAACACTTTCTCCGTGTCACTTGTGGAGATATTCATAGTTGTATAAGGGTTTGGAGTTAGAGGAGAGACCAGAGATAAAAAGAGGAGGTTATAGCTATGATCATATAAATGTGCACTGAAGTCAGAGACTTTCATAATATTTCATGAGTAGACAGTGGGAAGAGAAGAGGACTGGGATAAAGCCTGGGGTAGTAGCAGAGGGACAGGCTGAGCCATAAAAGCAAAGCAGTAGATGGAACTGTGGCAGCCAGAGTGAGGAGACTACCTAGAGAGCGTGCTGGGCAAAAGAATCGAAGGCAGAGGGAGTTTCCAAAAGCGGTCATGTCAGATGAAATCTGCAGGAAGCTCTTTGCTCTATTGCTCCAACGATGTGCCTTTATCGCAGGCACTTTGGGGGGGTGGGGGGGGGTGAAAACCTGAGCGGGGGCTGCTCAGAGGTGTGTAGATGGGCGGAGAGCCAGCTTCTGAGCAGTCTGGCTCTGCAGAGGTGGAGAAAAAGATCAGGTTTTTTTGCGGTGTTTTCTTTATTTGATTTGATTTTTTTCTTTAAGAGAGATTTGATGGCTATTTAAATGTGGATGGCAAAATAAAATAAAGGAGTAGTTGAAAAGACAAAGGAATGAAGGGTGAAGATAGTGTGAGGTTGATGAGAAAGTGGAAGGTGAAGAATCCAGGGACAGGAAGAAGCAGGTCAGTCATAGGAGGGAGGATGGCTGCATCTGGGACAAAATCGTGAAGAGTTTGGGCTGCTTAGGGCCTAGATGGGAAAATTACTAATCTAAGGTCTAGCTCCTAGAAGGGGCATAAAAATACCTGAAATCATCATAATGCTATTGAAAATACCTCCTTTATATGTACTTTAATGTTAGAACGTTGGCATTTTGCATAGTATTTACTTCGTGTTTTTCAATAGCTTTCAGAAATGTAGGTTCTTTTTTTTATTAAAGAGTGTCATATATGACAGGGAATGGTTAACTCCAGGTTTTGACTAAGCTCTTGGGTTCATTTTTAGCCAGAAGAATTATTCTAAAGGAGGGATATACTGCTCTTCTCAGGAGAGGATGATTTTAATGTATCCTAGCGGGAGACCAGATTTCCAAGCGTTATCTATGGAGGAAATCTCTGGATTATGCTAAAATAACATAAAATATGTGAGCTTATTTATTTATAAGAAGGAGATAAGTTTCATCTTAACATCATTAAGAAAAAAAAGTAGTGTAAGATCTAAAGCAAAACAAAATATAAACTTTTATTATTTATCAGAGGATTCTAGAATTTATCAGGGTTGCAGTGGGTCATTCCCTCAGTGCTCGTTTCTATTTTTAAAATATTCAAGACAAATTGTAGAAAGAAAAGACTTCCAAGAATAATATATGACTTCATATTTTCTACTGGTGAAATTAATGATGAAATAATAAAATTAAGATTGTTTATATTATCTTCTGTAAAAAGAATTCGAACTGCTCAGTTTTATATTCCACCCAATTTTTTTTTAATTTCTTAGACTTTCTCTCTTGAAAAATTAGCAAATTTGGTACTGTATGTTATAAGAAGATGCTATAAGAAAAATGGGAAAGTTTTGGAGTAGTTTTTTGCTAAATTAATGACTTTTGAAATTTAACATTACCAGAAATGGCTAATCACAATGAAAAAATGAATTTAATGATGTACAGTATAATCACATATGCAAAGCAATTAGAGGCAAGCTATTTACAATACTCTGATAAGGAGTGGTTGGCATTTCATAAAACCTTCAAAATAAAAATTTAATTGTAAATAACATGCTTTTTAAGTGCTAAATCTCAATTCTCATGTTTCTCATCACATACTGTCTTGTACTTTTTAAATCTGGTAAATCAGGGATCAAAAAAATATTCTCTATGAGATGAATGAGGAAAATGTTCTCAAAGCATTGAGGAAGAAAAATAAACTACAGAAACAAAAAAACAAAATCCAAAAATAAAGATTAAAACTTTAAAATAAAATTAAAAGTAATTGTGCCATAAAAAGTGGACTGAAATGAAAAAATGCTCTCATTCACTGAGAATAAAATCACAGACTTTGGGAGATATAAAACAAATCTCTTATATGCATCTCTATGGGCAAGGTGAATATTGTGGCTAATTTATGAATATTGTGGCTAATTTTCAAGGCAACTCTGCATGAAAGGTATTTCTTCATTTAACAGAAGAATAAACTTTAGCTCAGAAAGATTTAAAGACTTGTTCTGAGCCAGGTCCCTAGTAAGTAGCAGAGCAAAATAATTCAGGAAAAGAATTTAAAAATTATTATGAGTCCAAAGCCCACGATTTTTAAACAATGTTCTGAGTTCTTGGATGAAAAGACAGAGGCTCTTGATTTTGTTAGGGGAAATCAAGAACAGAAACAAAGGTTTTTACGTAGAGACCGATAGCACTCTGATCAGTACTGCATTTATGCCAAGAAGGTGATTACTTGCCAGGTAAATAATACCTGAGGACCTTTTGGAAGAAGATGAAGAAGTTAAACAGCAGCACTCTCATGATATGTAATTATCACTATTAAAATCTCCTGTTGGTACTAAAGGACGGTGGAACTGTGGGTGAAATAGCAACCCGTTAACAAAGGCCAAGGTCCTAGCGGTGTTTCTATCTCTGACCCTCATATTAAAGAACATTTGTACACAGCTCTGTGTAAATGGATGGAGTTTCTCAAAACCAAGCGTAACTAGCCTGCAGGGTTAGATCTTCCCGACACCTTCCTAGCTCCCCCCAGGGTAGATCTTACAACTCCCAGAAAGTCATTCCTGGCCCAGTCTTTGGGACGCTCCTCTCTAAAGAAACAGAACACAGGACAGACAAATTGTAATGGGTGCACAAGGTGGAAGACACCAGGCTTCCTGGGGGATGGAGGAAGGCACAGTCAAAGGATGAGGAGAGGAGGAGTGCGCACAAAAACTGCTTGCTCCTCACTGTGGCCTGCCGGAGGCAAATGCAACACTTAATGTCCTTGTAAATACCCTGAGAGAACGGAAGCAAGCACCTGCCCAGAGCAGTGCCCCCTGGTAAGAGGGCTTCTCTGATGAGAGCTGCTAAGCTGCACAGTGGCTGCCTTCATCAGCATCGTATTTCTCTTTGAATGTCTGAGGGTTGTTACAAGTTAATACTCTAGACTATATACCCTGGGATGCTCTATCTCCATTTAAAGCAAGCATTCCGATTGTGCTCATTTTAAAAATAATTGTTTGCTTTTTTTTCTTCCCAAGGAAATTTTGGACAAAAAGGCCAGAAGGGGGAAAAAGGGAGTGGAAGCACACAAAGTAAGTTCATAGTTTCTTGTTTTTTTGGTTTTTTTAAATGTAACTTTGTAATGAACAGACTTGTGGTGATAGTGGTCTGGGCTTGATCCACCACAGAAGTTATGTGGAAATCAACCACTATTTTCAATAAATAGAGTGCTAACTGGAGTAAAACAAATATATTAAGTTATACCACTCTGAATTTCATTTCCCATTTAAATTTTGTATTTGTGATGAGCACAGTTTTCTAAAAATTCCACATAGAAAATCGTTCAATTTTCAAGCCAGTTTCTATTTGGTGAAGGAAAATTGAGCCTATGAATGAAAACAACTACAGCCTCCTTACCTACCAGCCAAGCTAACTGCAATGTTAGGTATAGAAATTTGGGCACTCTAGGAACCCCGACAGACTAATTCTTTAAGAGCTCAGTAATTTGTACTTTGTTTTGTTTCTCTAAAAACTTGAGAAGTGGTATTCTCTGATCTTCAAAACTACAACAAAATGGATTTCATAACAGGGAAAGAATGCTGGCCTCATGTTGCAATGTAGAGAATCTGTAAATTGGACCTTAAAAGCTAAATGTCAGATGAGATGTCTTCAGTATGCCATGTCACAAGTCAATTGTTGTGGGTCTAGGCTGAATCTGCACAAATATAATGAAAGGATTTTGAAAAGGAATGAGGGATCCTCACTTGACTTCTCAGAATCAAAGGGTTCCGCCCCAGGACTCCCAATGGGAACAACATGTGGTGCTTGTGTGTGTGTCTGTGGGAATAGCTCATGCACATGCACACAGGGATCATGAACTCTAACCATCAGAGGGCTGTTTTAGACAGATTATGGCAAATCCTTTTACATATCAAAAATATAGCAGTTTTCCATTATAATTACTGTTTTAAAAAATACAGTATCATTTTCTCTGCCTTAGTACAGATAATTATAACCTAATACTGTGTATGGTACCACATTCAGGTAACTTTGGGTCACCATTGTGAATGCCAGTCATGAAAGTATGTTTTGACCTCTGATGCTCCCCACCATTGCTTATTGATCTGCAGTTGCCCCTAAATTGAGCGACAAGTATTGGACTCATTGCTTTAGCGTTATTCAATGATTCTTAGTATTGCTATTGGTATATTAAGATACAGAAACATGAGTATGTCTTTTCTCCTTTGTGTCCATTTATTCATTAATGTGTTAACTTTTGTCTGCTGTATACTTTTTATTCCAGTTACTTCCCTTGTCTCACCATTTATTTTCAGTTGAGCTCCTAGTGTGATTCTATTTCCTATCTTTATTTATGTGTATCTTTATCTCCACCTTTATCTTTGTTCCTCTTTATCTCCTTTCTTTCTTTTCCTGAGACTTTCTCTGAGCTACTTAACCTTGACTCTAGTTAAGTCTGGCAAATAAGGAACTTCTTTATTTTGTTGTCTGTAAATTAAACACCCACACTGTCCTCTGTTTCCTGAGGTTATCAAGTGCTTTGATTTTTTTTTTCACATAAGTTCAGAAATATTTTCATTTACAGATATTTCATGGCTGTTTTGAAGTTTATGTGCATACTTACTTTGAGGAAGCAGTCAGAGAGATTTTTCTGTGTCTATGTGTCTATAGCCTCCAGATTCTCTTCCATACACCTCCCTGCTGGCGGAGAGTATATAACTCGGTTTCAAAAAGTGGGAATCATTTACACAAACATATCTACAGTATGTTCTGCTTTTGCCTTACTTAAGCTAATAAGCCAGTCACCTCCCTGTGTCAGTACATATGGCTTAACTCTTTCCTTTCAATGGTTACACATTGTTCCGTTATACAGCTATACCGTAATTACCATGATCTATCATTCAATCCCCTAGTCATGAACACGGGATGATTTTTGTTTGCTTTGGTTTGGCTTTAATAAACAATGTTACATTCAGCATTCCCATACATGATCTTGTGGGAACATTGTTTAATAGACTATTTGCTAGAAGCTGAACCAATAGTTCAAAGGTGCATTTAGCAATTGGATGGATTCTTGCAATTGACCCCAAAATATGTTGTGCCAATTCATTCTTTGTGAAAGTGCCTGATTCCTTGCATCTTCTATTAATTCTGATATATGAAAATTTATATTGCATTATTTTAGTATACATTTTTTAATATTTTTCAGGCATGATTTATATAATAAAAGTAATCATTGATTTCCTCTTTTATATATGTGTCAGGAGCAGTACAACTCCCTGATCGTGTTTGGGCAGGACCCTTTTAAGATCAGGTGGGTTGGGCAGGACACCCTCTGCTACCATCTCATTAAAAGGCCCTTCACCTCTGGACAAGGCATCAGCACAACTGATTCCAAGATCCCAGTGTGGCTCCTCCAAATGACCTTGGTTCTCGTGTGTGCCGGCTTCCGCATGGCTTCCTCTGATGGCCGTTGGCAATGTTTGGGCCTCTGCTCCCATGCTCATACCCCTCCCCATTCTCGTACCGCACTATCCCCTGGGATCCTCAACTGGGAGGCCAAACATTGTCCTGTGAGCCGGGCCAGGAGCCCTCTGCCACCCGCTCATCTGCTCTCTTGCTAAACCTGATGGAACCCATTGGGTTCTAGGGGAAATCTCATGGATACTGATTGGATGTGGGTTCTTTACATGCAAAAACACTATCTCAACCAGCAGTAGGGATGACATGAAAGAAAGTCCATTCATTCATTCATGCATTCATTCAGCATACGTTCATCATATACCTCCTGGAGTTGAATGTAACAGGAAATAAGACCAATTGTCTTTGAAAGCCACAGACATGTAAAAAGGCAATTAAACAAGACAGCAGAACTGTATCGGGGGAAGAACAAGGCTCTTTAGGTGTTTGGAGGAGATCAAGATTTTAAAATTCCTTAGAATTTTTTAAAAAATGATTTTGATTCACTTAGTTTACCTTGCCTTCTTATTCTCCAAATCACAGCATTTTTTTTTCTAGTTTTGTGGTGAGCTAAGTGGCACTTAGACAGTTCAATAATACACTTGAGCCCAAAAAGAAAACTGGTTTATTTAAATTACCCAGCCATTTCAAGCAAGAATATTTTGATCATAAAAAAAAAATGCTGATAAGTTTTTTATGCTAAAAAGCTTTTTGCATTTTATGCTTATAATATCCAGTATAGATCCAGGAGAAAAATCTTATAGTAGATATTTTGTGTAGCTGAAAAAAGTGATGCAAATGAGAAAGGAAAAAAGGTAAGAAAAGGCAGAGAAAAAAAAAAAGGAATAGAAAAAATGTGGGATACATGTTACTTGTGTATGTCTCTATTAATTACCAGATCACATTTCCACAGTTCTCCTTTCATTCAAGGCTTAATAGTTCCAGACTTCACCGCATTCCATTTCTGGTAGAATCCTCAGCCGTGTGCCTTATCCCTCCTCTTCTCCTTCTCCTGCCCTGTGAAGTGGACATCTTCACACCTACCTCACAGGGTTGTTGTGAGGGTCACATAAGATGCTGTGCATATGCAGATGCTCTGTAAAATCATAAAGTGCTTTAAACATGTAAGGAATGTTCACAGTGGTCTCTCTGAACTGGAACACTTGCTTCTCACTCTCAGGCAGACATTCTAAGTCTGTAATCAGACCAGGAGTGAAAGCAAAATGAAAATGCAAGAAGCCAAATAAATGTCCTGGACAAAAAGAGATGCTAGAGCATCCGAGATTTTTTACATTAGATAGAGCAATGCAAGTGTGACCAGATCACAAATCCACGAGTTTGTCTGAGCTAAGCAGAAGACTGTCAGTTATAAATGAAAGGAGTGACAAAACAGAGTGCATGCCAGGGGCCAGAAGCCATCAAGAGAGGGCAGAACAAGATGTCAGGCTGATAAAACAAGAGTCCAGGCTCTGAAGGACAAAGCAGGAGCCCAGGATGCTGCTGATGAGAAGCTCCGTGAAGGGCTGAAACAAATGAGTTACCAGTGTTGCTGCGGGTCTGCACCTGCATGACACCCAAGTCTCCGTAACCAGTCAGCCACCAGATGTCCTCGACATTGGCAAATGGGACGTTTAGCCAGTTAATGCAGACATCTGGAGATTAGCTGGATCTCTTTATCTGCAGTTTCAGGTATCTGCAGTCACATGGATGTGACTTCCTAGCCCACTCTGCACAGGCAGGGGTAGGTAGAACCTGGGGACCCTCTTCCTAGCGGGCCACAGACTGGCCCTGATCAGAGATTCAGGGAGACAATTCCAGGAGATTCAGTTTACAAGTTATCTGACACCTGGACCACATGACACGAAAGAAAGCCCATTCATTCATTCATGCATTCATTCAGCATGCTAATTATTGTGTGTGGCATACTAATCTGAACTTTCCATATCAGAGCATACGGGCTTTCCTTCTCTCATCAGACAAAAATAGACGGTGAATGCCCAGTTCAAATATATAAATTATACCAACATCGATAACGTGTAACAAAGAGAAAACACATCAGCACCAAGCCCTAACCCTTGTCACGGAGGTTTGTCTGCTGCGTACTTGGAAGGGAGAGTGTTTCAGTGAAGCAAAAGAATTCCTACCCTATAGGTAAACACTCGGTGTGTCCTGAACATACTAGTTACTCATCATTTGTTAATATTTTTTACCGTGCTTCACTCTTGCCCTGTGAGACTACATAATCAGGACAAAAATTTTAAGTGCTTCATTTCAAAACTCATTCAGCAATACGAAACATCAATTTATCTTTCATTTGATTTCTACTGAGGACACAACACAGTCTTAAATGAATCCTAGTCTTTCTCAGAGCATTCCACTGACCAGAGTAAAGCCCCTCATCACTGAGGATGTAGGACAGTGGCACTTAGAGAACATCAGCTGTGCACTGGCGGCTTTTGATGGCATTGTCTCAGCTGATCCTCAGAAGAGCCTTTGTGGTAGGTACCATCATTATTCCCATTTTATACTTTGGAAACGAGGTGTATTGCTAATAAGCGGAAGAGCAGAAACCCACAGCCAGGTGTGTCAGTCTCCAGAGTCCCTGTTAATGTCT